CGACCCTTGAAACGACCACTTCGTAATTTACAAGCACGACGACTTAACAACAAACGCGTCGGCTACAGGTACACGCGGTGTGGTCGCCAAACGGCAAACGCGGCGAACGTACGCAACGATGCGTCGGGCTCGACCGCCTGGAAAAGACACACCGACTTGCGGCACAGCCTACGGCAGCGAACGGCCTGACGCTGGACGGCCGAGGAGGGGGTAAGCCACCCCGTGAGCTTCGGCATTCGAGGCGCAGCTTTGGGGACTTCGCCGAAACTACGGTGGCGCGAAAACACGTCCGTGTTCGAACAATAAATTATAAAGCCCAAAATGTTATGGAAGGTTTTTTTGTGCAACAATAATAAATAACCTAGAGCTAACCTATTTATAGCGTTCATAATTCATACCTACTTAATTACATTATACTCATTATAAATTATAATATACTATAGCTTTAGAACTAACAGACCATCAGTTTCTAAAAACGTTTAAGCTTGGTAAGGCCTCAGTTCTGGAATTAGATACATTAACACCGTGCAATGTACATGATTGAACCAAGTACATTATCTTCAACCTCAATTAATATAAAAGTCAAATCATTATTAGGTATGTATTTCTGTATGATTAATAATAATGAAGAAAGATAAAATGCTGTATATGTTGTTCATCATTATCGAGTTTTGACAGCTTTGTGGTTTTTTGCTAGTGGCTAGTGTCAACTTGATATTGATGACTATCAGATCACAATTGGTCTGCATTAAGTCAGCCATCTGCTAGCAGATGTAAAGCAGAAATATCAAATGCACTAAATCAGCCGGATATCATAAAACGATAGGTACATAAGCTTTCCCGATAGTTTTGAAATATTAAATGCAGTACCTACATAGAAGGTAATCAAATTTGTTCTCATACCTGACTAAAATCTTTATGGTACCTATACTTTGTATGCTAAAAAATAATATATTTTCACATAAATTGAACCATGTATGATTTTAAAATCGGTGTATTTGTTCTAAACATGAACAGAATAACAGATTTCTTGATAAAAAATGGTGGCAGGTTACGATGGACTGCACACATGTTGCATTGTTGCCATATTTCCACCTCCTTCAGACGATTTAACCCTGAACACATTTATGTGTTTCTGGGTATCTAGAGCACCAATACACAGTTATTAAGTTATTAAAGAATATTACGTAGGTAGTATAATTCTTTTTGGGCGGGCACTTTTTATGGAGTATGTGGAGCCGTATAGGAGGGTAGATTATTAGTTCAATTGCTATTTGCAAAAAAAAAAAGCAATTGTTTATTTTAATTTTAATAAATCACATCGTGGGTCTGTTATAGACTAAAGACTTTTGACTCTGATGCAAGAATAATGAATGTTAATGCTAAACGTTCTGGTGGCACTAATGATTAATTTATGTGACGGAAAATTATAATATCCACTTGGTTAGGTTAGGTTCCACTCAAGGATTTGAGCCCAATCTATAGTCAACCTAAATTCAAAGTAGTTTCTCAATGTTATTCAATTATTATTACTAATTAGTATACAAATTTTTTTAAGCGGTGTTTGTCAATTGCGCCAGATTTGGGACACTGTATAATAAACATCTATTGCGCCGCTAAAAAAACGGTATGTTTGAAAGGTATGCTCAATTGCGCCGGAGCATTTGACAATGACACAAACTGTTTTAGTTAGTTTTAATTTTTATAATAATTATATTATATTATATTAATTTTATAATAATTTGTACAACAATAAACAAAAATATATAGGTACATTACACACAATTTAAACAATTTATAATCTAAAAATCGATGACTGTAAACCTTATCTAGCAACATCAGCTTCATCATATTGTGAGGCAATTAAAAATATGTCATACTAATAGTCAAATATCATATTATTTCATTTTGACATGTCTAACGTAAAAACCATAGTTGCAAAACTATATTTGTACCAAATATACAATAATGCTAATCTGTAAGTTTTGAAATTAATAGAAATAATAGGTATTATACAAGTTTTTATAATAATATATTTAAGAATCGATCGGCGCAATTGACTTACACAACTTATAATACTGAAGTATCGATCGGCGCGATTGATGTATGCCCATTTTAAGTACCTAAAAAATTTCAGAAACCAATAAACCATATTATAATTATGATAAAGACTTCTCGGTAGCCGCATACTATTACATTATTATTATTATTATTAATATAATGAAGGCTCAAATTGTTTTATTCAAGACCAACAGGTATATTTACAATTTATACGCAAATAAAAAAAAGTCTTTCATGTCAATTTTACTAATGTCTTTCAAAGTTACAAACCTTGAAGTATCGTAAGTATACTAGTATACATTATAATGATCAATATCATTGTGTATCATAAACTATCTTATACTCGTACCTATCGTGTATCATTAACAAAGATATTGCCGCCACTGCTGATGTAAGTAATTGTGTATCCGCAGTGATAGATGTATGCCAAACTGGGGAATGCGAGAGGATTTGGATGTTAGACAAAAAAGTTAGTAAAGAGTAGAGTCTAACGTATATTTAAAGTAAAATAAATGTAATATTTACCAATGACCTGGCAGTAACAATAGACGGAGCAAGTGGTGGAACGAGTAGTTCGGTTAGGTCCAGCAGGCCGAACGATTATTATTTATTATAATAGATTTTGTTTACAAATCAAAATAGTTATTATGTATGGTGGGACTCCGTGATATAACAGAAAAGATGACACGTGTGTCTGTGATATATGTATAGTATATAATACTATAGTAATATTATAACTATAAAAATATAAATTAATAAATTATAACTTTCACACTTACCTCACACTCATTGGTCATTCAACCATTTCCGATCTTCGAGTAGATAATGTTATCTGTTGACTGTTACTGACTTATTGTGTAGGTATCAAGATTAAATTAGGTATTCAAATTTAGAAGAATGAAGATATTGTCCCTTTGGCCTTTGCTGATAGGTAGTTACCAACAACAGTATTATGGGACCTTAACTCTTAAAGAATCCAACTATGCCAATGTAAAGTTAAATGTAAATCTAATAATGGTTATTCAGCTAAGCAGATTTCCACATTAAAATGGCATAGGTAGTAGTGTACCGTGCAATAATAAATGTATCCAAATAAATTACAATATGATAATAATATCAATTACATCAATTTTTCTAAAATTACAGAAATATATTTATAGTACATAGGTATATAGTTAGACAGTTACAGTAATGACAAAATGTACTAGGTACCTAATTAATAAGTTATTATAGCCCTATGAGTTTCGTCTTTGACAACATGGTGTCATACTGATAAGTGATGTGACTATCAATCACAAATTAATTATTTGTTTTATAAATGAATTAATCAGTAGAGCGTTTAAGAATAGAAAATGGAGCAATATAATGTATTGGAAAGTTTATAAGGTAAAGGAGTGATTTTATATTATACATGGGAATGGAGAAGCATTTAACAAATTTTTTTATTTTGTGACATGAAAGAACAATTTGTAAACTGTTATGTTAAGAGTTAACTATTCGATTCATTACCTAACTACTGTAATCGCTAACAGCCTAAAGTTTTTTTATTGCTTGCATTGTAGCTGTGGACTTATAAAGAATGATATTGTAATTAGAATACACTAATATGACAATTGTGTATTATCAAAAAAATATTTGTTCATTGTTCATATATATTCATATTAAACAATCTAATCTTAAATTTAGAGTTCAAGGGTCAAGTCAAATAAACATTATAAATTATAACTTGTTCAAAATAATTAAAGGTATAGCTCTTAACCAGCAGTATAATATTTATGGTTACAGCTTAGTTAATATTCCGTTAATTATTTAATTGAAATGCTGATGAAATAAAACTTAATTAATTGTTATAATTGTTAAAATTGTTCATTATACTTAGGTACTTAATTATAAATAACATGTTTATATGCACGCAGAACTTTTTATGATATCTGGTAGGTATCTAGTGAAAACAATAATTTACAATTATTAGAAGTAGTTTATTTGGAACAATGCATTCCATGTAGTACTATATTACTATAATAATCTATAATTAATAAGATAATAAGCAGACAGCAATAAAAAAAATAATATCTATTCTAATGGATAGGTAATATACAAAATAATATCAATTTTAATGAAGCACGCAATATATAAAAAAACATAAATTCTAATGGATCGATAATATACAATACATTTGATATCTAAGTATAATATTAACTAATAAGCAATTATAATAATAATAATAATAACAATAATATAAAAAACATAAAAAAATGCAGAATTTTAAATATAATTTAAGATCATACATAATATTAGATTTATTTAATATTTATCATACTGACATGTACCTTAATTGCAAGAATATAATGTACAAAGTTACCAAATATATATTTTAAAGAATATCATTTCAAATACTAAAAATAATGTTATTTCTAATGATGATAAATTATTATTAAATATTATGTTATAATTATAGTATAGCTAAGAACTAAACCGTTTTTCTAAAGAGAAAAATATAGTAAAAGTAAATTAATGTATAAAAACAAATATACAATTTCTAATTTTTACCTAAAAAAACTTACCATTTTGTTTTTTAGAAATTGATTAACTTTATAAATAAAACAATTCTTTCAAATCAAATACTTAAGTTATTTCATAAATATTAATATGTTATCATATTATAGTCTTAATAAATCAAGATGATATTTAGTTATGAAATAACTATATAAATTGTTGATAAATAATTATTTATTATTTTATGTTTACTCAAATGTTTAAAACTATCTTATAATAGTTAGTGTATAATAGAGTATATAATAGTGTATAGATAACAATTAATTAACATTTTGAAAAATATATTTATATTTTGTGATATTTACGACTTCTCCTTTATTAAAGTTAAAAAAACCTTATTTTAAACTACAACGCACAATATAAATTATTGGTAATTTATAAAAAAAACCACAACGATAATAATAATATTTATAATAATTTGTACTTGTTTGTATCATTTATAAAGAGTTAATACTTATTTATTTTTAATGAAATTAATATTGCTTTCTAGAATATCTGTAATGAGATCTTTTTGAAAATCTAGAGTGAGAACTTTTTGAACGCTTAGAATCTATTATTATATTTCGAGAGTTAGAACGGGATCTATTACGAGAGTTAGAACGAGATCTATTATTAGATTTTCTTTGAGATTTAGAATGATGTGTTGGTAAAGATTTAGAACCAGATCTTAATCTAGATGATTTTCTTGAAGACCCAGAGATAGATTTGTTCGGAGGTAAATAATCATAAGACGTTTGAGAATGAGAAAGAGTTCCAGAATGAGAACTCAGTCCATCTAGTTGAGAATAATGTTGTATATTACAAGTTGATGATATACACTTTGATGAATTTCTTTGGTATCGAACTCCACTGCTTGCACCACGAAGAATAGAACTTACACGGTTTTCTATATATGGCAAGAACCATAGTTCACACATTATATCATATCCATCAATTTCACCTATCATCATTTATAACCAGTTACATAAATTAAAATTATTAAAATAGAAAATGTAAACTCACATCTATCCATAGTTATCACAGCATTTTCAGATTCTTCTGGAGTGGAAAACATTATGTATGAAAATCCTTTAGAAATTCTATCATAAGTGTTGAAATGTAGATCTAATTTTTTTATTGTTCCAAATTCAGAAAATATTTGATGAAGAAAATGTTTGGAAACTTTTCTGGACAAGTTGGTAATACGTATACAACATGAAGTCTGTGGGCATTGAATCTTACACTTGATCGGGATACTAGAACTAAAATCATATTTTAACTTCAGTTGTTTGTACTTCAATAGATAGTTATCAGTTATAACCTTGATTTTTTTAAAGTTGTACGGCCTCTTTTTGGATTTTGTACTGTAACATCATACCATTTTTTACTAGTTTTTTCTTTAGCATTTATTAATTTCAAGTATCTGTAAATTGATTTTAATTTAAAATAAATTATATTAGACAGTAATATAATACATAATACCTAACCTACATAAACTCACTTTTTTTTTTCATTCACTTTTAAAATGTTCGAAGAGCTTTTTGACCTTGAATTGAATCTAGAGTTTTTTGAATTGGAATTACGGTTGATAGATTTTGAAGGAGCCATGCTAAAACTAGTAATTTAATAACATATTAATTCAACATAAATTTGATATAATTATTTTCATTTCTGACCTTTTACTCAAATTATGACTGCCAAATAACAAAATGTTTTTTATGGTACTTTCTTCTTTTATAATGATGTTTTCTTCTTTTACACCCTTTTAAACATTATTTCTGATGCTTTCAATCAGTAAATATGTTCATTGTATCGATTGTTTTACATTTTGACCTATAATAATTAATTAAGTAAAAAGATTAATAATGGATAGTTAATAATAATGACATGAATATTTAAAATAGTTGTATTAAAAGATATTTAAAAAAGTTTAAATTATTACATATAGTGAAAGATGAAATGGTTATTTAAATCATGATCACTAGTAATTTATACTAATATATGATTAAAATATTAAATGTATTAACAACAGGTAAGCACTTGACGGTTAATAGGACCACGTTTGTAATTTATAAGACTACGGGATTACTATATGTTGAATATCAATAACTAATAAATTTATAAAAAAAAATGAAAAACAAAATGAACATTTAAAAACAGTTTAATTAACAACCTAGTTCACCCGGGGCAAAATCATAACATTTACATTATTGAAAAGTTTTCAATCATACAAGTTATTTGTTGATAAATGGTTTATAACATTACTCTTAATTGTTGAAAATGAAATTATTACTACTAAATTAGTTTAAGTCTGCATATTGTTTATTAATTTAATTTAGAATGTGAAATGTGACAAGATATAATAAAACAATTATAATTTATTGCAACTAATATCATACTCATTTCAAGTATAGTTTTTATACTTTATTTTCAAATAATATAGGTCCAATAAGATTTTTAAGTGTTGGATTAATAAAGTGTTTGTGTAATGTTTTGAGTAACATTTGTGTATACTTCATATTAAATTATATCTTGTTCCGAATGTGATAGATTGAATATTAATTTGAAATGATCGTAATTCTAATGTAAATAATTTAGGTACTTAGTTTAATCGACTAATAACTTCATTGTGGGTAAATTTTTTTTTTTTAAGGTATATTTATACAACTATATTTGAACATAAAATTTTTTCAATTATTATAAATTATAAACTTATTCAAGGGTTCAAAGATCCTTTTAAAATTATTCAATATCTATTGTTTTAAAGGGTTATTGTACAAATTATGAATTCCAACAAACATTAAAAACATTATAAAAATGAATAAATATATTTTGATCAAATTTGTGGATAGGGTAAAGCAATCTAAAGTAGCTGGTGGTCATTCACACATTAATCATTATTGAGTGAAATGCTAACTATGGGTAATTTGGTTTCTACTTATTAAATCACATGATATACTACTTATGATGTATTGATACGTCTTGTACTTACCGGTTGAGTTCATCGTTTTTCACAAATGTCAAAGAAATCTGATGCGAAACTGCTGATTTCATACACCACTGGATACCGGATGTACTGATGATAAAAAACGAGCAAAAAATAATATTGTTTGATTTTTGTTACAGTACAAATAACAAGTGTTAAGTGTGTTTACATACAGTGAATGACAAACGCGATGTGATACTATTTTTTTATCAATCTAGTACATACCGAAAACTGTTGCCGCAGTTGTGGTGTAAACGGTGTATTACACAGTAAAAACAAATATATTTGAATAATATTAAATGGCAATAACAAACGATTAAATAAACAAAGTTATGCAGTGCATGTAGTCATTCAATGCCTGAATTGACGCTGCGCTGTACAAAAGACAAAGAATGTCTACATCTACGATCCGCTACTCCGAATCAAGGATATCAATGGATAGGCCACGCCTATGCTTAGAATATTAGGTGCCTCGTTAAAAAAAAAGAAGATAATATTTCTGTCTCACGAAGGTGCCTGTCTCGTAGTAGGTATAGCCGCACCTACATCAACTATTTCAGATCGTATGATAAAGGCTAATGGCCTATCCATTCTTTATCAACTATAATACCACAGAACCTAATACAACTTCTTATAACAATTTCATTACACAGAAATACCACAATTTAAGACAATAAGTAAAAAATAATAAAAACCTTAAGCCACACAGTTGTTGTACACAAACGAAATGCCAATATTGATAAGATATGATAACCAGATTACCACAGTGGTCGTATAATAGTCGTATTTTGGCTAACGTTAATAAACAAATGTTATATTATGTTAAATTGGGGAGTGAGGTACAAACTGCTCTACACGTCATTTTTGCTACTTTGTCATTTGGTACTACTGGGCAATATTGAAGTTTGAAATAACTCTAGGTCAGCTGATCTGCCTACAGGGCAGTGGCTTATAACATAAGGTCCGAGTGTTGCTCAGAAAACACCTTAAATATGGGGGGGAGGGGGGTAGGTATTGATAAAAGAAAAAATAGGACATTTTTAGGTCGGTATAACAGTATAATGAGGGGTAGGTCACCTAAAATTATTTGAGCAACACCTATTTTTTTATGATACATGCTACTGCTACAGGGAATCCATAGTGAATCGTTATCGTAGTCTATGTAAAAATGGGACCCCAAACTTTAAATTGTAAAAACGTATTGGCAACCTGATTTTAAGTTAACAACATCATACGTCAACGTGTACTATTCTTCCTAATTATGAAATGCGATGTAGGTGCTTATTATACTCGCCCTCATAGCTTAAATATACAAGTATACAAATTTGGATTTTTGAAGGAATTTAAATTCAAATTCAAATTTTATCCTAGAACATAATTTTAAGTTATTTCGGTGATACAAATCTTTAATTAATATTAAATTAATTAGGTAACATTCATGAATGCAATAAAAACAAAAAATATTATAAGTACTACTTAACACTAATCTGTGACAATGTTCGTCTATCATTTTGTAGAGGAAAATGTTGTGGATCTGTTAGTATAAGATAAAAGTACCAAATTTGAGTTATGTTGGTTTTGTTCAACGTATGCAGATCTAATAATAAATGTCTATTGTAAGTGGTAATAACGGCACACCCCCTGAATAATAGCTAATTTTTCGATGTTAAAGGCCTCAATTACGCGGTTCAGCCCTAAACACTAAAACACCCTCTGCCGTAATATCAAGCCAGTTTTCGACAAACTCGTATTGTTTTTATAAATGTGCAGGTAACTCAAAAACAATTAACAGAGATACTTGAAAAATATTTAACGCTTTTTAAGCTATTTTAGATATGTTATGATATTTTCGATATGATATAATTTTTCTACTTAACGTGTCGACTTTTTCACTCGGTCCAAAAGTTGGAAAAGCACCTGGAAGAACTCCACATTGGAAGTTTATAGTGGGGCTTCAACCCCTCCCCCCAATATATTTTATCAACTTACGCTTAATCATATAGTATTTTATATGATGGTAAGAAAAAAGTCTCGGGATAAAAAAGTCCCGGAAAAAAGTCTGTTTTCTAAAAATAATAATTAATAAATACAAAACAGATATATTAAAAAATAAATAGCTAATAATTACATATATCATTGAATCATAAACAATTATAGTTATTACTCGTATAAAAAAATAATCAGGAAAATGTGTACAGAAAAATTTTTAATAATTTAAAAAAAAAACATATGTATAAATGTTATAAAATTTGCATTTTTTGAAAAATTAAGACTACTTAAAACCTTTAACTATTTAAAGTCACAGTAGTGGCGTACTTTGTCTACGCCTGTTACACATACTGCACCACATTAATATATTATACTATACCAGATGTCACCAGATGTATGGCATTATCCACAATCTAATAAAAATACTAAGACCCTCCCTCGTTAGTGCGATACCCCTTCAAATGGTTATACAGGGGACGCCGCCTATAATACTCACATTGGAACCAGCACAAAGTGAGTCTTAAAACCGAATGAATCTTATAGGCGAAGTGGGAAAAAAAATTAATTACATATTTGTGAATTTTATTTTACTACATATTTTTCTTTAATTTTAATACTCTAATACATAGGTATTACATATGACATACGTATAATTGAATAAATTTAAAAAAATTCTGATAAAAAAATTAAAATTACAATACATGTAAAAAATTATAAAAGATGTATGTATAACGTACCTATTTATTATTTATGAAAAAAAATTGTGATTTCGTTTTTTTTTTTAGTTATAAACTAATATTCCGGAAATATATTGGAAAATGTGAAAGACGATACAATTTGTTGTACATACACACATAATAAAGCAAAAAACATTAATTTATTTCTAAATTTTGACAAAAAATGTTTAATTTTACCATTTTTTTTTTTTACAAAATTTGAGTCTTATAAACGCATTGTTGAGCTTATAACCATATTTTTTATAACGTATTTGGATACGTCCGGACCGTTTCAGACAATTCTGAATCTAATAAGCGACTGAACCTTTGTATTCGTGAGTCTTATAAGCGGCGTCCACTGTAAGAGTAAGGCCGCGTGCACATTGGAAAGCGTTGCGCGGTAAGCGGTGGGCGATAAGCGGCAAACGTTGAGCGGTGAGCTGTGAAGTGTGTATATTAAACAGGACGCGATGAGCGTTGTGTACAACATTATTTTATTTTAGTGTAGTGACGTAGAGCACCATGGCACTAAGTTCGAAAGTTCGNAAGATATTTTATTTATTTATTTTATATCTAAAACCGTTGGGTAGAAAATCGTATATACCTTGAGCCGGCCCTGTACATTAGCAGTAAATATAATAAGTAGTAAGAGATCTTATTTGTATGCATTTTATGTAAATATTGTTAAAAGAATATAATTGTATTTTAATTTTTAATTATTATTATACATTTAAATTTTGAGGTAGTGTCTTTTAAAGTTATTTGTTAAAAAAAAAATGATTTTATCTATCTATATCTAGTTAATTTTAGATTCTGAACGAAGTGATGAATGTATTGATTTTACAATGATGTGAGTTTTTTTAGTTATTTAGTTTTTTTTTTTTGTGTCTGACGACAACATTTGGAGCAGTAATAATGTTTCGATTTTCAAAAGTAGTACCGTTTCTGAAAGGAAAGTGAATTTAGTTGGTACTTTGGGGGGTCAAAAGTTTTGCCAATACTTTTCAAAAGCGTCGGGAAAAACCTTAAAAAAGTAACGGAAAAACGGGAATTTTTACGCAAAACCAATTTTTGACAAAAAGGAAAATTTAATTTTACTATAACTCAAAAAATAATTACTATAAGCACTTGAAATTTTCAACAAATGTTTATATTAGCGTTGTCTATACAGAGTTAAATTTTCAAAGGGTTTTGACTTTTTTTGAGCTATTTATAGACAATTGAAATTTTAAATTTTTATAAGTATTTTTTAAAACGGTTTAGCCTCAAACGATTTTTTATATTTGTTATTATTCAAAAAGTATAAGTCGTAGAAACTTGAAAATTTTACCAGTTGTTTAAATTGACATTTTCTCTATATAGTTTTATTTTCAAATTATTTCACTAACTTTTAATCTATTTATAGGAATTTGAAATAATCAATTTATTTTTTTTTTTTTTATAAATGTTGATAAAAAAAATTTAGCTGGGGCAAAATACTTGAAAATTTAACAGGAGGATCCACATACTCGTAAGTTGTTCTAACTCCCATTCAAAAATTATAAAAATACATAGGCACAATTTTTTTTATAAGCGTTTATAAGTGCTAATATTGACGAAAATCGTCAAAATCACGAATATTTGGCAATTATTCTGTATAGTTAAAAATGTATAAACATTGTTTATTAAAAGCTAAGAATTGAAAATTTAATACCAGGTTGTCCGTAAGTTAAGCTTAGAATAATTATAAAAAAAATTGATGATTATTCAATTAAAAAAATTTTATGAGTGTTTAAATTTTCACGAAATCAAAATTCACGCGTTAAAATAAAATAATAACAATATTTAAATGTAATATATTCTAGACTGACAAATCCATCTCCGTTCAGAATCGTTTTTCGTATACAATGATACCTATCATTGCATTCAAATTTAACAAACACATTATAGTAACGTACTCTATGACCGAGGTCCATCCCACCCCCTAATGTACAGCATAGCGACATCCACTTACCCGCTTTTTTTTTATTTAAGCACAACACTAATTTCCTACACTATTTATAAATCCCATTATCATAATAATTATTGATGTGAAACATTTTATTTTTTCCGTTATCAATGTTATCACAGATTTAATTAAACAAGTCAAATTTTTTTATAAATAATACAAAATAACATATTAAGTTAAAAGTAAATGTAATAAATAAAAAAAATAAATAAATAAAAAACAAAATAGTCTTATGATATTAATTTAAAAATTATTTCATAGTCATCTTATTCACCATCTATTTTCAACATTATTACAATAAAAAATTTTTGATGTTTCACATCTGCCAGGCGTCCCGCGACGGCTCGATTTTTTTAATAAAGGAATCTATACGCTAAAGTCATTATATGCTGTAATCTATATAAGGCGAAAATAAAAACAGCAATGGTTATTCATTTTCAGACATTGGTTTTATAGCTTTAATTTAGTAACCTAAATTGCATTTATTTGTTTTTAAATAGATATTTATCCACGGGCCTTTCATTCCGAAATTTAGCTGTTACATTAAGAATGGGCGCTTCGACCGTTGGAAAAATTGTACACGAAACCTGTAAAATAATTTGGGATGAACTTGTTATCGAATTTATGCCAGTCCCAAGTCAAGAACAATTGGAAAAAATTTCAGATGATTTTTATAGGCGTTGGAAATTTCCCAATTGTATAGGATGCATTGATGGAAAGCATTGTCAAATCAAATGTCCTGTGAATAGTGGCTCAAGCTACTTCAATTATTTAAAATATTTTTCATTAGTGCTTCAAGGTGTTGCAGATGCTGATAAAAAATTTATTACTATTGAGGTGGGAGCTAGGGGCAAACAAAGTGACGGAGGAATATTTGCAGCATCTACACTTTTTCAACTTCTAAATACAAATACATTTAATGTGCCTCCTGATAAAGAATTACCTGGATCTACAATAAAACTACCCCATGTATTAATAGGTGACGAAGCGTATCCTTTAAAGAATTTTCTTATGAGACCTTTCCCTAGTCGAAACCTCAACTACATCAGAGAAAATTATAATAAGCGCTTATCTGCAGCCAGGAAATGCGTAGAATGTGCTTTTGGCATATTACGCGCGAAATGGCGAATTTTGGGAAAAGACATTGAAGTAAGTTCTGATAAAGCTATACACATTATAAAATGTGTTTGTATCCTACATAATTTAATTCGTGTACAAGATGGAGATAGTGATTTAGATTACTGTCAAGAAATGATACGTCAATCTCAAGGAAACCAATCAAATGAATTTCAAGAAAGATATAATCACGGTGGTGCTCGTAGAGGATCAATTAGAGCAAAAGAAATAAGAGATGAATTTGCAAATTATTTTTTAGATCATTAAATATTTTGTTCATTCTATTGTACTTATAACTTATCAATTTAAATCTTAAATATTTAAAAATTGTTTTGTATTATAATATAAGAACGTACAATGTATTGAGTATTTGCCATTGAAGTTTGATTTAAACATTAATTATAATATAATAATATAATAATATAATAATATAATTTTTTTAAATCTATACATTTTATTTCATAAAAAAATATTATTTACCCGAGTATCCAACAACAGCTCCAATTTCATCCCACAATTTATTGGTTTTTTCGGTTTTTTTATAATCGGGGTGTCTATCATTCCATAAAGATGGTCTTCCTTGCACTTCTGAAATGAGAAGTTTTCGACTTGCATTTGTTAAATGTACTTTTTGAGAGCTCATGATGTTTTATAAAATACGTTTTAATTAATAGGTACCAATGCAAAATATAAATACAACGCTCACAATTCAAGCTGTCTTGAAAAGTAAACAACGCATCGCGCACAGCGCATCGCTAACGCTCAACGCCCAAGGTCAGTGTACACAGCACCGATAGAATTACCGTGTTTGATTTATTTTTGTCAACGCTCGCCGCTTATCGCCCACCGCTCACCGCGCAACACTTTCCAATGTGCACGCGGCCTAATAGTAGTATTTACGTTTGTTCAGTTGGTCTTTACTTTTTATTACATAAAGTTCATGATGAAAGCAAATTTAGTGAACGATATACTAGGACGTCACTCGTTATTTAGATGTTTTCTAAGTGAACGTGAACGTGAACAACATTTATATTTTAATGAATGTTAACGATTTTTAAGACTCTCGATTTATTTATCAATTAATAAATATGTATTTGAAATATAAATGTATTAATTTTACTATATTATTATTATTATTCCTATTGTAAAAATACTAAAAAATTAAATGTACGACTCATTGAAAGCATTCATTTTTTTCAATGAACGTTCCAAACTCTGGCATTTTCTAATATTAAACATAATTGTCGGTGCATACTGGTTGCCTCCCAAAATATACGAATTGTCTCTCGCCCTGATCGTAAATAAAAAGGTTAATATACACTATTTTCCTCCCGTACAGAATTAAGTAGTGGTTCATAAACTTCACCAAAAAATTCGACATAAATAGATGAATTTATAAAATGAACATAATTTATTTATTTTTTTTTTATTTTTTTTTTATTTTTATTGAAAATATGAGACTTATAGGTACAAAAACAATTATAATATAAAAGTAATATTAATTGATAATTGTATGTATAATTTTGTAACACATGTGTTATATATACATTATAAATTGTCATATACTAAGTCATTAGGTTATTTAGGATGTTAAAAATATATAGTTCAATTAAAAAACATCAATCTTAGGTATAATATACAATGACATTGATTCATTCTAAAAACTAGTGTGGTAACAATTTAAAATCGCTTAAAAATAATAATATCGTACAACTCGTACAAAACGAGAACGAGTGTTGGAAATCTACTAAACGTTACTCGACTGTACACATATTATGTACTTAAGTCTGAGTCTGACCCAGATCTGGTAAAAGCCTCGTACCAACTAAATACATAACACTTTTTAATTAAAGTATACATTTCATCATTTTTAATTTTTAAACAATATATTATTATTTATCTATAGCCATATATCTATAACCATACATATGACATATCATTTTTGTATACTTTTATATCATAATAATATTTAATAAAATAATAAACCCAATATTTAAAACTATTTAGTTATAAACATACATTTGAAATAGAAGAGATTAAAATATATAGTAATAAAAGTAATTGGCATTGGACTCTATTTGATCAAAAAAATGAAAATGGAAATTGCTGCAGACCAAGCAAAATTGACGTTAAGTTGTGTAAGAAATAATGGAAGTATAAAACTTAGTACAAAACAATTAACTGAAAGCCGCTTAAAAGACGTATGTATACAAATTAAAAATAATGATATAAGTATATTAGATTTTCTAATGGCAGTTAGCCACAACATTGGAAATCAATGCTACTAAATCATTTTTAAAATATTTTTACCTACAACATTTTTTTAATTAAGTACAAAAACAAAAGACAATGATAGCAGATTGCAACTATACTTGTATATTTTATTATAAGAGTAATGATTCTATACAACCGGGTGGGGGCGGCGGCATCCCTCTCTAGGCTTCATGACTGCTGGAAGAGCGATGCCGCCCGTGAAAGAGATTCGAACCGATGACGGTGCGTGGTGCAACCGCAGCTTTGGTCGACTCGGCCACTTCACCCCCTTTTGTTTTATTCCGTCAAGTCTACATGTGGACTTACATTAAGAACAGAATTCGCTCAGCTGCTGATATCTAATTGATCGATTGACATTTTGCTCCTGGTTGTGGAATGATGATTCATAATTTCTCCAATATTTCGAATAGAAATACCACAAGAAGTCTCAAAGTATGTAATAGCTTTTCAAATATTATATCCACATGTTGTGTGTATGTTAAAACCGGAATGTAATGTATGTAATAATTTTACATATATTACAAATAATACAATATAAAAATAATACTATGATTGTAAAAAAAATTTTTATTTTTTGCTCATTAACCGCTGCATCTATACCAGTGCTTCTCAAACTTTTTTGACACAGGGCCCCCTAACTTTAATATAAAACTGTCAAGGCCCCTTCAATTAAAATCATTAATTATTTTTTCTCAATTATATATTTAAATTGCATGTACTATTTTTACATTGATAAATCAATAAAATGCACAGTAAATTATTGTTTTTTTAATTAACTTTTGAAAAAACTTTATAATAGTATTGAAATTTAAATATGTATAAATGTAAATAAATTGGTAATAATTATAAAACTATACTAAAATATTCAAAAAAAATGTTGATTGCTATTAATGCGACGGGTGGGCTTGTATATTTTTGCATAGCATATTGATGTCTGGTGTAATATTTGAAACTGCAATGCGCAAGTTCGCTTTTAATGAATGTTGTGAAAGGCATGATCTATGTTGGTTTTTTTATTATTTGTAGTTGTGAAAATGCAGTTTCATAAAGATATGTCGAAGCGAAATGAATTAATATAAGTAAAGCCGCTTTTGAAATTAATGGGTACTCTTGTTGTCGTCTCAACCAAAATTCACTTAGTTCTTTTTCATGAAATTCAGATTCAAGAGTGGAGTCTTCTCTAATTTCAATTAATTGCTCTTTGATAGACCATGGAATATGATCATATTTCAAAGAAGTAGAAAATGGTGTTTTTATCTAATTGTATAAATTATTTATATTTAAATTAGGAAAATATTTAGATAAAAATTGTAGCATTGAAGACATATGTTCAGTTATTACACTTGCAACTGAAGTTGTTATAAAAAGCTCATTAACGGTAAGAAAATCATGTAAACTCGTAAACATTGAGGTATCTCCATTGTTAAATGCGACAACCAAGAAGACAATTTTTTATTAAATGCTTGAAGTTTTGAGGTAAGTACTAAAATGTTGGTACTTTGACCTTGAAGAGATACATTTAGTTCATTAACTTTATCGAAAACGTCGGCTAAATATGAAGCTAAACACATCCATTTTTCATTACTTAGTAGTGCAGATAAATCGGGTTTAATTTCACGGATAAATATGCGGAGCTCATCACTTAGTTCTATAACTCTTTTTAAAACTTTACCACGGGATAGCCAGCGAACGTCAGTATGGAATAGCAATGTATTGTGGTTGGATCCCATATCTTCACATAAAATCTTAAAAAGTCGTGTATTAAGAGCACGGGTTTTCACAATATTTACCATTGATACTACGTCATTCATAATTAAATTCAGTTCACAACCAATTTTTCGAAAAGTTAAATGCTCTCTATGTATAATGCAATGAACAAATCTTACATCAGGACTAACTTTCGTCACTTCTGCTTTAAACCCTGATATTCTACCAGTCATTACTGCTGCTCCGTCTGTACATACGCCAACACATTTGGACCATTCTAGTTCGTTTATAACAAAAAAAATCATTTACTTTTTTAAATATATCTATGCCTTTAGTTGTTTCAGAAAGAGTTTCACAAAAAAGTAAATCTTCATGTATTTGTAGATTATATTGATATCTCACAAATACCATTAACTGGGCATTATTGGTAAGATCAGTCGATTCATCGAGTTGTATTGCAAAACTGTCACTATTTTAAATTTGAATTAATAATTGAGATTTGATATGATCCCCCATACAGTCTATTCTTCTTTAATAGTATCATTGGAAACAGGGATAGACCGTAATGTATCTGCAATTTTATCACCGTGTATAACTTCACATGTACTCAGTATAACATTTACGGTTTTATATTATTACAGTAATCATCGATTATCGATAATCTAATCTAATGTGAGATAAACTTCTCCGATCATATAGCAATTTTATTATTATTAAATAAAAGTTATCTAACATCAAACTTTATCGAAAATGATTAATCATATAAGGTCGGTTATTTAAAAACTAAATAACGATAAATTGACTCCATTTAATTTTAAGTCGAAAATAACTGTAGTTTTTTTGTTCATAAATGCTTTAATCAAAGCCTATAGAAAATAGTTCAAAAAATATAAATATTTCACGGCCCTCCAGTAAAATAGCCACGCCCCCCTGGGGGGCCGCGGCCCACAGTTTGAGAAGCACTGGAGTAATGCATGTTAAGGAATGTTATTTATGGAATGATTTTTAACCGTGATATGATTAGTCATTGTTTAATATCATATACTAAATATAATTTGTTTTTAAATAACTACCTTTATGTAACAACCTTTTAATCAAATAAATGTACCACCTAGTACCTATAGTAAATTAGATGCATAATAATATAATAAAACTGTTTAATAATTAATAAAATAAATATAATGATTATATTATGATTATATGTAATCATGTAAATCATTAAAAAAAAAGAATCATGTATTTAGTACATGGCTTTTTTTTACTATAGGCGGAGCTTTGTTTACAGTAATTTGATATTGAGGCTTATTTTTCCTAGATTCTTATATTCAGCGTTATAACGATAAAAAAGTATCCCACTACCCAAAAGAATGGTAATATTAAAAAGTATGTTATTAAGTATGAATAGTATCTGTCATTTCTGGATCCACCCCTGATAAAAATTATTGACCTTTTTGACTCCAGGAGGCAACTAGTGTGCGCCCAAAATTATGCTGAATGATATCGTTCGATGACCCTATAGCATACAACTGTCTCTGTGTTAAAAATGGAACGGTATATGTTTAGAATTTACCTGCATGGCTAAAGAGTTATTACCTGTAGGCCTACCGAAGCTTTTTAAAGGGAGGGTGAAATAAATGATGGTACGCAGGCCTATGAGTGGGTGGCTAAATAATGGGCCCCGAACAATTAAACAGCATAGCAGTAAATACACACGTGAATTTTTAAGATCCCCCAAACTTGGTGGGGTTTAACATGATCTTGTTGAATGTTGATGTTTGTTTGGAACTAGAAATGCCAAACAGATAATGAACATTATTGAATAAAATACTTCATGGAGACACTCCGTACCCCCCCCCTCCATCACTCACCTCCGGCAGTTCTCATTTCACGATTATTCATATAGATTCAATCACTTCAATAAGATATTTCGGAAGTGAAGATTAATGTCTTCTATAGTTTTTGATGAATAATTGTATTGTATTGTCAACATGGGTAATTTGGTAAACTGGTCCCCCACCCTCGGGGCATGGCAGAAACCTACGGTTGTCCCATTCGAAATTCTGCCAAATCTAACACACATATTGTGTTCTCCCCTACCGTCCCAAAACCTACAATACAAACCTATACAATACAAACCTACAATACCTACTCTACAGCTTATGGCCACAGTCCAAGATCAATAAAAAAAAATAAATAAATAAATAACTATAAAGATACGACACAAAGGCAACTGAGATCCTACGAAAGCCTACAGGGATATAGAGTATATTCATGAAACTATACAAGTCATAGATTATACATATACATTTAATGTTAGTTTAGAACAGATTGACCGAAAAAATATAAATATTACGAAAAAAAAGCATTTATATGAAAAATCATTAAAACAATATGCATTAATATGCCCTAACCAATGAAAAATTCAAAAATATGCCAAATAAGGTTTGGTATTTGAACTAGACATAAGTCAAAACAAATTTTGGAGAATTCATTTTATTATACTGTGTAGCAAAAAAACATGCAAATGCATTTAATTCACAGCCTTGGTTATAACCCGGGTTTGGGACTTACAACACTTAAAAAAACAATAATAAGAGCTAAAATATGCACTTAAAACCCGTAAAATATGCTTAAAAAAATTAAAAAATATGCATTTAATATATTTATTATTTTATTAATAATTATTAATTACAACTAGTGTACTTACTTAATATAAAAAATTTAAAAAAACCTACTGATTGTTAACTTGTTTCTTAAATTTCTGAGTTTTTTGAATTTTATTCGTCAAGTATATAATGATGGGAAAAATTACAAATTAAATTTTTCATTGAAATCAATAAATAAATAATTTTACATTTACCGGAAATACCTTTAGTTTCAAAGAACGTTTAATAACTGCAATATATTACAATTATCGTATCGCTCGTATCCCAACATATTATATAATAATGTAACGATACTGGAAATCAGGCCATCAAAATTTTTTCAAACCACGAAAATTATAAGGAGTTGTGAGTTGTATATAGTAAATAGGTACATAAGACTGCGAGTAAGCTGCATTACACCATGATCTTTTTTAGATCCGGTGAAATTTGTGAAATTGAAATTTCAAAATTTTTTCTAAAATATGCAAATTAAGCACAATAACGTAAAAATAAGCAGATTCCGAAAAAATTTATGAAATATGCAAAAATATGCACATTCAAATCTTAGTACCACGGCATTGAGAAATTTTTTTATTTCGCACTCTGCTACATTTTATAATAAATAAAAAAAAGTATGCGATTGCTATAAGTCCTGAACCTTGGTTATAACTTATACCTATTCATAATCATTATTGGTAGGTAGTTATAACTTAACTTCAGCGGTGGCTGTCTTAGCGGTAGCATGCGTATTAGCACTGTCTTGATATTATTGCGCCTCCAGCCGACAATTATTAACAGTTTTTTGTGATTTTTGTACCTTGAGGTGCCTGAAAAGTGCGCGCAAGGATCGGTGTCGGTTTTGAGTCGGTCCCATAAGAACCTTCCCCATAAGGGCAGTTTTAAGTTACGTTTGTACCGGTGATACACGACTGCGGACGGTTCTTATCGGGGCGACCTTTTTATTGACACGATTGCGAACGATTATAGTTTNGAGGTGCCTGAAAAGTGCGCGCAAGGATCGGTGTCGGTTTTGAGTCGGTCCCATAAGAACCTTCCCCATAAGGGCAGTTTTAAGTTACGTTTGTACGACTACGGATTAAGGTAGGAGTAACGTTTATTACTTTTCTTATCGGCTTGAGGTTGGCCAAAGTTCAGCCGGCGAACGGTCGTCGCCGCTATCGCCGAGCTCGTTCTCGCGATTTCGGGCGGCTCTCAGCCGGAATAGATATACTAAGCAAATAGCACACGGAACTGCTCGGACTACCTGCACACTGTATATTATACAGGGTGGCGCGTAGTTAGTTAGCTCTGAGCCGCAGAAGCATGAATCACGGCAACCCCGATGTCAATGATGACGTCATGGAAATCGAATGTCTCGGGTGTCGGGGTGGTTGGGTCTCCAAATCCTGGACTGGGGGGGGGGGGCGCTAGACCGTGTACCGACGGGGAAAATACACCAGTGATAAGGAGTAAAAGAAAGGGCACCATCTCTACACTCACCTCCACTGTGGAGGGCAGTGAGAACCAGATTGAGGCAGGACTGGCGTACATAAAATCCTCGCTGAAATCAGCAATGAACGAAGTGAGATCTCCACTTCTTCCCCCAACTAAGAAACTGAGAGACGAACTAGTGACTGGCCCAAGGGACAGGAGCTTTATCAGGCCTGAGATGGTGGACGTCGGAACTGACACCGTTCTGACTCCTAATTGGTGGGAGAGCGAGCAGGAGCGCCGGAAGAAGGGGTCGTCAAGACGTCGCGCAGCCAAGGCAGGTGCACTGGGGCCATCAGCGGTGGAAAATCACGCCGATACTGGAGCTGAATCGGCGATGGAGATGGATGACGAAGGGTGGAGGGAAGTTGTTGGCAGAAAAAAAACCACAGCTCCTCCCAGTGGAAGAGCAATGGGCCTCCCTATACCTCTGAGGACTGGGGCGAAGCTCAGGGCTAAGCCCCCGGCGGTTTTAGTCAAGGTGGCTGCCGGCTCGTCATACGCGGACACCGTTCGTAGAGTAAGACAAAATAGCGAACTCAATCTGGCGGAAATTGGCGCGCAGGTAACCGGGATGCGCAGGACTAGGGACGGGCATCTGTTGGTCGAGCTAGCCAAAGGTGTTGGTTCGGTCGAAGCAGCTCAGAAGCTGTCTTCCGCCATTGCTACCAGGTTGGAAGAAGCGGTCGGTGCGGTGTCGAACCTTGGTCAGTACGCCGTAGTTGATATTGTCGACCTCGATGCGGTGGCGACTGAAGGCGAGGTCCTCGCTGCATTTCGGGCGGCAATACCTGGAGCCGAGGACGATCAAGCCGCCATTTACGACCAACATGCTGTGTAAATCACAGGTCTCTGTTCCACTAGGTCTGGCCAGCAAATTGCGACGGCCAGAATGACCAGAGCTTCTGCTTCTGCCGTAACCCGGATCCCAGTTGGATGGACTATGTGCCGTGTACGTCCTAGACGGCCGGAACCAGAGAAGTGTTTCCGCTGTCATGGCTTCGGGCACAGGAGTAGTAATTGCTCTGGGCCGGATCTGTCCCTGAATTGCAGACGGAGTGGTGAACCGGGCCACGAGCAGAAGCAGTGCACGGCGGATAAAGATCGGTGTATTGCTTGTGAGAGGGCTGGCTTCGTGCGCTTCACACACGAACCAGGTTCGGGTGCATGCAAAGCCAGGAAGGAAGCTCTCAAACCCTCGAATAGTGGTGCTATATCAGGCCACTTACCATGATCCGGTGCATGCAAATCAATTTGAACCATTGTTGGGTGACCCAGCAACTCCTTAAGCAGACGGTGTTGGATCAATCACTCAATGTTGTACTTGTATCGGAGCAGCTGCGCAAACCATCGGATGATGCGAACTGGGTCTCTAGCAATGATAATAAGTGTGCTGCGGTCGCTGTTGGCCACTCAGCGCCTCCCATCGAGAACAAGGGTAGTGGAACGGGCTTTGCTTGGATCAAGCTGGGGAGCCTGGTGATTTACAGCTGCTACTATACTCCTAATTGTAGTGCGGCTGAGTTTGAGGAATATCTCTGCTGCTTGGATGAATCGATCCGTGTTCACCAGAATTGTCAAGTCGTGGTGGGGGGGGGGGGAGACTTGAATGCTCACTCAGCGATTTGGGGATGCCCGAGGGACGGCGCAAGGGGTGATCTCCTGGTGGACTTTGTCGTCTCACTCGACTTAATGTCTTACAATATCGGTTCTTCCCCCACCTACGTTAGGTACAATGCTCAGTCGATTGTTGATGTTACCTTCGCTCGCCTGGAGCCATGCGCGGAAATCAGGAATTGGCGAGTTCGATCGGACCTGAATTCAGAGAGCGACCACCGTTATATTACCTATGAGTTGGCTAAAAGGCCCCAATTCGAGTTAAATATACCCCACGTCTCTCGTAGGTGGGCGGTCAGGAAGCTCGATTGGACGGAGTTACGAACACGGCTCACCAATGCTCCTCAAGAGCTTACTCTCTCAGATGGGGTGGACCCGGATGCGATGGCTGGTGCTCTCAACGATATTTTAGTAGATCTGTGCGACCACTCCATGCCTCGTCGCGCCGTGCTACGAGACCGTAAAACGGTGCACTGGTGGACGGACGAGATAGCAGCACTACGCCGGGCTAGCTTCAGGGCGCGCAGAAGGTACAAGCGCGCAGGTCGGAGAGACGACGCTGAGGAGAGGGCCAGAGAGCGGTAAGCCTACTCCTCTGCCAGGAAGGAGTTGAGAAGGGCTATTCATCTGGCCCAGGTTGAATCTTGGAAGAAACTCTGCCTTCTGGTGGACGAGGATCCCTGGGGACTTCCCTATAGGGTAGTTATGAAGAAACTAGGTGCCAGGACTCGCTTTACTGAGGGCCGAGAGCTAGTAATCGCCACTGCGTTATTTCCTTCTCGACCAGTGGTGACATGGCCGGTTGGAGTTGCTCCGACGCATCCTGCTCTCCAAGCTGAGCTCTTTAGCATGGACAAGTTGGCCTTGGTTGTTTCCAGGTTGCCAAGGGGGAAGGCTCCAGGTCCCGATTGCGTCCCTAACGAGATGGTCGTAGAACTGGCGAGGGCGATACCAGCTATGCTACTGGATTTGTTCAATAAGTGCCTTGTGATGGGCGTTTTCCCGGCCAGGTGGAAGGTTGCGAGGCTGGTTCTATTATACAAGGGAAATGCCAAACCACAGGCTGAGCCTTCAAGCTATAGGTCTCTCTCGCTGCTAGATGGCGTTGGAAAGCTTTTTGAAAGACTCATATTATGCAGGCTAAATGCTCATCTGGAAGCTGGTGATAGCCTCAGCAATCTCCAGTTTGGTTTTCGCCGGGGGAGGTCGACCTGTGACGCGCTGAAGTGTGTCATCGAACAGGCGGAGATAGCAGCCAGGGGTCCAGCACGCAGTAGACATTTGTGTGCTGTGGTTGCCATAGACATGAGGAATGCCTTCAACTCGGCGCCATGGCTACTCATCGATGCGGCACTTCAAAAACGGGTCTGTCTATACGCAGTCGATTAGACCACCACCGTCGTTATCATTTTGTTATTATCAAAAACAAAGTTGTTATCAATATATATATCGTATCATCCATTATAATAAACACATACATTACATTATTTCATATAATATAATATAATAACATATTATTATATAAATTGTATAATAAATCTTTTATTTTATAGTATAGGCACCTCCTATACTTGACTGCTAGTAGAATTTGATGCATATTTTGCATATACAGCAATTGCAATTTTCTTAACACATGCAATCTGTGTACAAGTTCTTTCAACAAAGTCCTCCAGCATAGATGATACAATCTTAATATTAGAAAAGTTATCTTCAATAATATATATATTTTTTTTTTTTGGTACACAGATGACGCAATGATTATTAAATAATCTCAGTTAATCAAAAATAGTTTTAATAGTGTTAGAAGTTTTTAGAAAGTGCTTAAACTAAAGAGTTAACTAGTAAATAATAACTTTACTTTGATCATGATATATAAAAAATTATATTACGCCTTCTCTATCGAGCCACTACCTAATTCCCCATTATAGAGAAAAATTGAGATAATTATTTGACTATTGAGGTAAGATAAACATTTAATTTCCAAATAGTAGTATAATTATTAATTAATAATTTTTACTACCATAATAGTAGGACTTTACACTCTGATTACTGTATTGTTTAGGCACCTTTATTAAATTTTTAAATTTTTAAGATACTATATTTATATTAATGTTCCATTTCAGTTTATTAATAACATATTAAATAGTTAATACTAAATATTAACTATTTTAAATAGTTCCATTTCTATGGCCAGAAGTCCCGTCTTATAGGTACTTTAAGGTTTCGTATTTTAAAATATATTGTAATATAGATTACATGTGTTAAGAAAATTGCAATTGCTTTATATGCAAAATATGCATCAAATTCTACTAGCAGTCAAGTATAGGTGCCTATATTATAAAATAAAAGATTTATTATACAATTTATATAATAATATGTTATTATATTATATTATATGAAAAATGTAATGTATGTATTTATTATAATGCATGATACGATATGATAACAACTTTGTTTTTGATAATAACAAAATGATAACGACGGTGGTGGTCTAATCGACTGCGTATAGACAGACCCTTCAAAAACGTGGGTTTCCAGGGGCGATTGTAAACTCCCCCGATGGTAAACTCTCCCGGGTCTACTCCAGTACTACCTGACGAAAACGTGTAAACTCTCCCGGGTCTAGTTTAGTACTACCTTAAGAGAACATGTAAACTTTCCCGGGTCTAGTAAAAATCATAAAATAAATTTAATATACATTTAAGTTGCGTTTAAAAATAGTCAATCATATATAATAATAATAATAATAATAACAATATAAATTAATGACTTTAGCTGCTATGAACTTGATACTATAGTCAAAATACAATAAAAAATAAAATTTCAAAAAATCCAATATACATTTAAGTTTTTATTAAAAATAGTCAATAATAATAATAATAATAACATAAGTTACAAATACAAAATATACGTAAAAATGTTAAAATTATTGTTTTTGATAATGAGAACATACAGATTTTAAAAAAGTTAGGGAATCTATTTTTTTTTCTTTATAATCTAATATTTTTAAATTTTTAAATATTTTTAAATAAATTACAAATATAGGTTAACGGTAATATGATTTACACATTTATGGTAATACGATACGATAAGCATCGTACACAATCTCTGCAGTGTAGTCAACTCGTAGTGTAGTAATAACATTTAAAACAACTCGGGAGCTTACATACTTCCTACAGGTAACTATAAAGTTGACCCGGGAGAGTTAACACATTTACTTCAGGTAAACATAATTTTGACCCGGGAGAGTTTACACATTTGCTTCAGGTAAACATAATATTAACCCGGGAGAGTTTACCATCGGGAGAATTTACTATTTTGAAAAATCGGGAGAGTTTACCACCGCCCGTTTCCAGGGTACCTGGTACACCTTTTGAGGTCCTACATGAGTGGCCGAACCTTATGGATGACGGCGGTAATGGTGATCTAACCAGGATGGACGTTTCGTGTGGAGTTCCACAGGATTCAGTTATTGGGCCTTGCTTATGGAATATTTTCTATGATGACCTCCTGCAGCTGGAGCTTCACGAAGCAGTGAAATTGGTGGGTTTCGCTGACGACATTGCGCTGCTCATCACGACACCTAATGCGGACCTCCTGGAGGACATTGGTAATGCAGCGCTGCAGTTGATAGATAGATGGATGCAGGAGAACGGTTTGCAGGTAGCACCACAGAAGTCGGAAGCGGTTGTCCTAACCAACAAATGGGCCTATCGGGATCCTTCGTTCACATTAGCTGGGCAGCAGATCCCAGTGAAGTCCTCAATGAGGTACCTCGGTGTTCAGTTAGACACGAGGCTTAACTTTGGTGCCCATATCAGTCTAGTGACAGCTGCGGCCCGGCGAACGGTGTCCGCTCTTGGAAGGTTGATGCCGAACATCCAAGGGCCTTCGGCATGTAAGGGGCGGCTGCTTATGTCGGTGGCGCTCAGCAAGCTGTTGTTCGCTTCACCGGTCTGGGCTCTGGTGGCGGCGAAGACGGCTCGGAATAGGATATCCCTCAGCCAGGCACAGAGAGGTGCCGCTATTCGGGTTGCGAGGTACTACAGGACCGTGTCTGACATGGCAGCTCTGGCCTTGGCTAGAATGCCTCCAGCCCACCTGCTGGCCGATGAGCGGCGCAGAATCGAAGAGCGCAAGCGAGAGCCCACGACGGTGGCGGTCATAAGGAGGCAGGAGCGTGAGGCAACACTGCGCGAATGGCAGGTGATCTAGGACCACACGACGATGATTCCAGATATTAGAAGGTGGGTGTATCAGTCAAGCCTTGTAGCCATGACATTTCACATGGCTCAGGCATTGACGAGTCACGGATGCTACCAGCGCTACCTGTGGAAGTGGAGGAGGGCAGATAACCCCCACTGTATGCACTGTGATGAGCCGTAAGACACTGTGGAGCATACCCTATTCAACTATCCGTTCTGGGCAGAAGACAGACGGGAGATGGAACAATGCGTCGGCCGGCCACTACATCCCAACGATGTGTCGGATATCATCCTGGGGCCGCAGCAAAAGCTCCTCCCAGATGATGCATTCAGGAGGCGACGTATCGAGGCGATGGCGGAGGGACAGAGGTTGGCGTTTGGCAAAATGGTGGAGCAGATCCTTGGGCGGAAGGAGGATGCAGAGCGGGCCAGGCAGGCGCGATTATTATAGTATGGTGACCGAACTTGTGGGCCGAAGGCCAAATATCTAGGGTGGTTAGAGGCCCCCGCGTATGTACTCGTATAGCTATTATGTATGTTGCTATTTGTCATGGTGAATAAACGATACGGGTTCGGGTGGCAGTATTGTGCTAAACAGTTCCCACCCGTTCCCGGTTTCAAAAGGAAAAAAAAAAAAAAGGTAGTTATAACTTATAATAACGCTACTATCGGAAGGCTGAGGAAGTTTAGCCCAATAGCTCCCTGAATAGTTTTGATTGGAGGGCTGTAGTCCTGTAGGCCGTCCAAAATGTTTACCCTCATTGAGCTTACGTATTTAACCAAAAAATAAATAATTAGTGATTCCAACTTCTCGTATATAAATAGTAAAATAATGAGCAAAAATAGAATAAATCGGAGATTAGTCAATAGTTAATAATTAAAAGAGACATCTAAATAAGTTGATATTATGTACAATGCACATTGTGCATTCATTATTATAAAACACCCACATTAATGTGAATCAATTAATGTACCTATATACTAGTCCAGTAGTCTACAGCTAGTATGTTTGAACGTTTTAAAAATAATTCAATAATACAACCTGTTAATGAAAAATTTAAGACGAATATTGAACATATAGTAATTGGATTAGGAATCTAGCTAGTTATGTATTTGTTGAATGAACAAATAAATAGTTAATAAAATTAGTCTCATATAAACTCCCCCTCAAATTTGACTCTAACTCAGGAGTTAGGGGCGTCATTTACGGGATGCAAGTAATTATAAGTAATAAAACAAAACAAAAAAGACTCTGATCTTGAAATATAAACACCTAGAACTCTTTATTATATTAAACGATTCTAATTAAGACACTTGATCACTATTAATAATTTACTTAACATATTGATGGTCTTTCTTTTAGACCCCAGTGACTACTGC